TTGCGTTCTTTGCCCAGTTGCCAAAGCTAACAGCATCACTAGTTTTTTGCTTAACATTTCTAAATTAATCGAATCGTTTGAGAGATTGGCCAAATGATTAAGTACAATGTTAGTATCCCACGTAACAATATAACGGGGGAAAACGGGTTTCAATTTGAAAATACCCTTGAAAAAACGTTTTATCTTTTCATTATGACCAATATTATTACTAGAAATTAAGGAAATAGCAGATCTATGATTATTTAAGGTTCCGTAGAATGACCCTGATTGGAAACATTCTGTCAAAAAAATTAGCAGGGAACTGAGATTAACTTCATAAAAATCACAATGATTCTGATTACAATATTCCCACCATTTTCTTAGACTGGAATTATACTGCGATATAGTATTCCGAGACAAGGAAGAGATCATAACATCTACAGCTGCTTTTGGTACTCCCTGCTTGGAAAATCCTTCCCGGATAACACGCTCGCTACCAAGAAAAGTTGACCATGTAGCGGGTGAACTGAACTGAAAGTAGAGATAAGGAGATATTTATTAGGTCTAAAAGTTACAGATTTCGTTACAGATAATGATTTAAAAAGGGGGTACCAAGGCTGTGATGGCCATTGTGGTACAACCACTATGCCTGTAGCTCTATCATGTATAATTTTGTTTAGTACCTTTAATATTATAGCGAAAGGAGGAAATGCATAGAAGAAATAAGTAGACCAGTCCAAAGTAAAAGCGTCAATATTATAAGCATCGGGATCTCTTTTCCACGATATGTACTTAGGGCATTTAGTATTAACACGAGATGCAAAAAGGTCTATATCTGGTTTACCAAATGTATATACTATTTCTGAAAATGCATACGACGCTAATTCCCATTCAGTATCAATATTTAGGTTCCTCGATTCTCTATCGGCTTCAGTATTTAATGTAGATTTAATATATGAAGCAAAAATGAATATTCTCCTTTCCTCGCACCATTTCCATATTATATTTGCAATATGATTTAAATGCGGGTATTGAACTCCGCCCATCCTATTAATGTACGAGATCGCTGTTGTATTGTCGACACGCAAAATAATATCACAATCTTTTTTTGTGTTAGCGAATGATTTCAGTCCGAGATAAACGGCTAGTAATTCTAAATAATTTATGTGGTTAGTACGCTCAATGCGAGACCACAAACCACCAGCCTTCTCATTGTGACAGGCGGCACCCCATCCTGTCAATGAAGCGTCAGTAAATAGTTCCATTTCATATTTATGTTGTCTAATACGATTACTAGCTATTAGAATATGATTTTTCCACCATATCAAATCATCGTGCAATTTATTTGGAATAGCCATAAAAGCATTGTAATTATCTGCATTACGCTGAAGTGCCATATATTTAGCTCTTTCTAGTGACTTCGTATGTAGCCATCCATAGGAAATGGCAGGACATGCAGCAGTAAGGGAACCGAGAACTCGCGCAAATTCTCGAATGCGTATAGATTTAGTAGTGAGTAACATCTCTAAATTTTTGAGTATACTATTTCTTTTTCGATCGGGTAATTGCAAAGTCATCGACTTGGAATCGAGAACAAATCCTAGGAAAGTACACGAAGTACTTGTTTTCAAACTACTCTTTTTATAATTTATTACAAAACCTAAGCTTGTAAGGCATTCTTTAGTATTACTTATATTATTCAAACAAATCGCTTCCGAGTCTCCTAGTAAAAGTATATCATCCAAATAGCGTACTGATTTAAAACCACGAGCTCTTAAGTGAGTCATAACGGGCTGTAAAATTTTTGTAAATATGTAAGGCGCAGAACATAATCCAAACGGGAGTGCAGTGAATTCGTATTCCTTCAAAATAAAATCGTAAATATTTTTTATGGCTAGCATGGATTGGGACTAAAAAATAAGCATCCTGCAAATCAATATTGGCCATAAAAGACCCTTCAGTTATTAGTTTTGTCGCCGTCCTAATATCTTCCATCTTAAAATGTTCGACACGAACATATTTATTTAATTTTTTAAGGTTCAATATAAACCTCATGCTACCGTCACTCTTTGGCACTAAAAATATGTCAGATAAATATTGTCCCTTAACAGGATTGCATTTTTGTATGGCCCCTAATTTTATCAAATGTTGAATTTGTTTTTTAAGTGCAATTCGTTCATTAGAACAAAAAATACGTTTTGGATATTCACTTGGACTCTGTTCTGGTATAGTAATAAATGGAATTGAATATCCTTGAATAGAATTTAAAATAAAGTTATCGCTTGTAATTGAACGCCAAGCGTGTAAAAAATATTTCAAGCGACCTGCATATACCTGAGATTCTGTATTTAATTCCGCGACCGATCGGCTGCTGGTCGCGGCTTGTAGACTGGTTGGCGCCGCGCTGGCGGCGGCGGCGGTGGTTGCGGACGGCGACTGTGTGGCGCCGGTGCGGCGACTACACGTCGCCGATTCGCATATGAAGTTTTGTGCCCACCGGCTCGTTGTTGCGAGTTGGTTTGACTGGCGCACTGACGTGGTCGAGCCGATGGGCCCCTGAAGTTTAAACCAGAGCTGGAAGAAGAGGCTGTAGCTTGAATTAATTGACTAGTCTTCTTAATTCCTCGAGATTCCTTCACTACTTCAGATAAACTCTCTCCGAATAAGAAAGTATCTCTCTTCCGGTTTTTAAAAGTATCGGCCAAAGATTTGTCTACTAATGGAATGATGACTGACCGACGGGTGTCTGTTTCTGCGTAGTGGGAGTCTGCGATAAGTTTTCCCGTATCGCTCAATATGCGAATAACTTCGGATATAACAGGGTCTTTCTTTAAAAGAGCCGTCATGGCCTTTCCTAGGGCTGATAGTGCACGTCCGAGCTGATCTTGTTTACAAATCAAACGTTTATCGCGGAGACGGCAAGGCTCAGGAAGCATAGCATGGACCTCTGGGTTTAGAGTGGGTGCCTTTAAGAACGGCAAATTTTTAGGAAACAGATATTTCTTTATAAGTTCTTCTCTATTTTCCTTTCTTAAGCCCTCTATTAAAATTTTTGGGAACCTTGTTGCTATATCTTTATATATTTCATCACCATATTCAGTAATTTCCGATTCATTTTCTCCTAAGGCTTGTAATAATTCCGAGTCAATGCATTCTGCGACTTCCTCATTATTCTCAGTTACAGTTAAGGGTACTTCCTTAGGAGGAAGGTCTTGGTACGAGTCAAGATCCGAGAAAATTTCTTGCTGTTCGCTTGAAATATTACCCACATTAAACAATTCAGTTTCTCCAGGTACCGGATGTTCTGGAAACGAATGTTACGTATTAATCCTCAAATTCACTAGGATTTCTTTTAATTTAAATAACAAACACGTCTCCTTCACTAACAATGATATTAAGTAATATTCATTGTAATAATTTATTTATAATAAACTCAATAACGAATTTTTAGTCAAGGAAAAAATAAAATAAAACAATATGTGGGTAAGTTCGATCGTGCAAAATATGCCAACGATCATAATTGATCCCGAAGAATACAACGGGATTAAAAAAAATTATATCTCGAAGAATTCAACGAGAAATAAATTTGTGATAATAATCACCTTCGATATGTACATCATCTTCATCGCTGGAGTAAACAATACGCTTAGTATTACGACACTGTGTTTTAAGAAGCTTCGCTTCATATTTCTTCATTTTTCTTGACCAACGTTCCTCTTTCGATTCTTCGCGTTTGCGTTTAGGCATTTTTTTTTTTTTTTTTTTTAGTAATTTTTTTTTTTTTTTTTTAGTTTATATATTTATAAGCTTGTGCAGTCGGCGCGAGCGCACGGACAAGAATGAGGCTGGGTCGGAATGTGTCGGCATAGGAGAGTGACAGCAATGTCATTATTATGTTTTTATTCCTACCCTCTGAATGCTTGTGCGAAGGGTTGCAGCGTAGCGAGGCTACTACATGGTCATAGATAAATCTCGGAAACGAAGTCAAGATAATTCTTATCCAAATAAAACATTTCATATTCAAGACTGTTTCAATGTCTGTACATTTGAAGCAATGAAATCGGACATTCCATTCAAAAGATATTATAGATTTTGTTGTGTTTCAATCCCTTACAACACCGGCGGCCACGGCACGTGGTAGCGGGTGGTGCGATGTACACCTATGACATAGGTACCCGGCGGCGCGGCGTACATCTATGACATAAGTACCCGCGCAGCTTATTCGCACGGTCAGTTTCTTAGCAGCGGACACTACCGTCGTTGAATGTTTTGACTTTTTCATAGTACATTTTTTCTGTTCCTGTTAAAGTTCTTTTCATAACTACCTAACCTACCAAAAATTTTCCTGTCTTATTTTAATTTGATTTACATTATAAATATATACTAGAAAATTAAAACAGCATATAAGTAAAACAGCGATATATGTTATGTATATCGATACATTGATGTGTTGACGTATTATATTATTATATTATATTGACGTATTAACGAATGACGAATAGTAAAATTAAACGAGTAGATTTTTAATCAATAATGAATGGTGGGTCGTTTTTTGAGAGTTATATATATTAAAATAAATATAAGAAATAAAATATAAAAATAAAGCAAAAAAAAAAAAATAACAAAAAGAAACTTTCCGATTGTAAATAGGTTTATGGATAAAAATAATAAAATATTAAAAACGTACTTTAAGTTTTTTTTTTTAAATAAAAGCTGTAAAGTTTTTAAGAAAAACTGTTCAAAGAACTGTCTAAAAATACATTTATTCTACATTTCTCAAAATGTTTAAAAAGTAAATGTCCACCCAAGCGAAGCCGGTGCGGGCCGCTAGTATACTATAAATATAGTATAGGAATACATTTATTTAAATATTTATATCAGTTGTCTAGTATCTGGTATAATAAGCTCAGCTTGATTTGGGATTAGACGGCGCTGTGTAACATATCCGGGGTGATATTTATTTATTTATATAAGTTGCAAAGTTTTTTTATTATTAATTACAATACTATTTATCTTTACAGTAAATTTGAAGATCACACAAGATGGATACTTTAGACGATTCTGAAAACAACGCCAAAATATCAGATTCTGCGTATTCTAATAGCTGCAGTAATAGTCAGTCCAGGAGAAGGTAATATATTTAAGCATACTATTTTTAAATATTTATTTATGCTGTACGACTACATAATTTGCGGTTAAATTCGTTTGAATTAATTTGCTTATCCATTTAAGCAAAATGTGTTTTTTGTTATGTAATAACAACCGGATTAACTTATGTGTATTTTCGTCGAGGAAGCTCGACTAGTTCCGCGAACATTCGGGACATTTAGTTATGAGTTTTCTCAATTAAAGTACATGTATGTTATTTCGGTTTTTATTATATTAAAATATAATGTTCACTTACAAAATTTTAGCAATAAAATGTGTTTTGATTCTGAAAACCTGTGCACATGCGAAGTTGGTGAAGTCGGGCTGTAAAACATGTCCGTTAACTCCATGTTTGTTAGTATCGATACAGCTCCGATACTATATATTTCAGTTATGAGTTTTCTCAATTAAAATACACATAAGTTATTTCGGGTTTTATTACATCAAAATATAATGTGAACTTACGAAACTTTAATAATAAAATGTGCGTGGATTCTAAAAACCTGTGCGCATGCGAATACTGGTGAAGTCGGGCTTTAAAATATGTCCGTTAACTCCATGTTCGCTAGTATTCTTACAATTCCTATACTATCTATATAATAATGAGCTTTCTCAATTAAAATACTCGTAAGTTATTTCGGTTTTTAATACATTAAAATATAATGTTAACTTACGAAACTTTAGCAATAAAATGTGTTTTGATTCTAAAAACCCATGCACATGCGAATGCTGGTAAAGTTGGGTTGTAAAACATGTTTGTTAACTCTTAGTTCGCTAGTGTCCAAGCAGCTCCGATACTATAGCATCAGATCTGTTGGCTAGTGTTAGCTAGACCTTTGTAATGCAGTGACATTGCATTGAGATTACAATTTTAGAGCAAATTCTCTTGCTTCAACAATAGTAATGAACGATCGATAAAATTAAAAATGTAATAAATTTTAGTTCCATCAATTTACAACACTAAAGTGGCGATTATTACGTATAGAAATATATAATCGTAAAAATATGTTTACAATAGCTAGACTAGTTAAAGGGAATGGCTCACAATTTTTTTTTTGGATGTTAAAGGAAAATAAAAACGCTAAGTGAATATGGTTATCTACTACTGTGATAAAAAGTAAGTCTCCGACTTTTTTGCTTACAGAGTAACGTTTTGAATAAATTAGAACACAATGAGAATGGTGGGACAATTATATATTGAGTTTTTTTTTATATATCTATTTGGTATACATGATTCTTAAGTGGATGTAATTTTAGACATAACGATGTAGCTAAGCATGCCCCCATTGTATATTTATTATGTACATTTTGTTTTGCGAAATTGTGTATTCAAAGTCTTATCCATAACGAGTATTTACGTAGTTTATTTTAAAAATATTAGTATGGTGGTGGATTACATAGAGTTAACATGATTTACTATCAACTAGAATTATTTTTATATTAATATTATTATATAAGACATTAGTAGTTATAGGCGAATATGTCCGTCCGCACCGCAGACTGCTGTGTCGGTTCTGGCATAAATGGGCCACTCCTTCCTTTCCCCGTGGGTTTCGTATGAGGCGACTAAGGGAACTTATTACGGGTAATTATACGGGTCGAGGGATGGATAACAGCGTCCCTCTTATAATATCCCCAAAGGCCTAACTGCGGTTGCCAATCCGCTTGCCAAGCATGGCAACTATTAGCAAAACCCCCTCTACGGTAAGCACCATAAAAAACTGCCCCCAGTCTCCGGCGGCTTCGCTATTTCTGACCAAGGTAGCGGTCATGGCAATAACGGAGCAGGGGGAGCTAAGAATCTCCGGCAGAGATTCAACTACCAAACAAGACGTTTGAACCTGGCAACATACAATACGCGAATTTTGAGGACTGATAAGAAGATTATTGAGCTGGAAGAAGAGGTCACTAGTTACACTGATATATCATAGGATTATCTAAAGTCCGAAGATAGGTGGAGTATACGATGATCCTTGTATCCGGTAATTTGTTCTACCACCGGGAGGGCGACTATCCATTTCATGGTGGTGTTGAGTTCATCGTCTGCAAGCCCCTCGTCAATAATGTCTTAAAGATCGAGAGTGTGTCGGCAAGGGTGGTATACCTAATACTCAAAATTACCTAAAGGTATTCGTTGAAGGTTATTCAAGTATATTTGCCGAACGTGACACACTCCGATAATGAGGTGGAGGTAATGTATGAAGACCTTACAAGAGCTATACATTCCTTTAATACTCAATACACGGTATTGATGGGGGACTTAACGCTAAACTGGGCACAAGGATAAACGATGAGACGAGAATGCGGAACTACATTATTGGGCAGCGAAATCCTAGGGGACAGTAGTTGGCTGACTTCATGGAGAAGGAGGGACTTTATGATGACCTCCATCCAAAAGCGGCCACACAGAAAATGGATCTGGGCTAACCTTGACGGATACACAAAAAATGAGATAGATTTCATCATGACGACTAATCGCCATTTGTTCAATGATGTCTCAGTGATCAACAGGTTTAAAATCAAAAGTGATCACTGAAGAGTAAGAGGCTCATTGAACCTGAATATTAGGTTAGAAAGGTTGCATCGGATGTAGTTCGCTCCGACCTTCTTTGTATGCCCTTATCGAAAATCCCGAGAGTTTTCAACTCGAATTGTCGAATTATTTTCAGTGCCTGGTGAATTGTGAAACAGCGAACGATGTCAACAATAAGCTAGTGGAAACTGTCCAAGCAGTGTCCGAATAGTTAAATTTTGCAAACCTCAACACTCAAAAATAAAAACCAAAATATGAGGAAACAGTATGAATTGTCTCAGTCTTCAACATCTACATTAAAATGTAGGCAGCTTAATAGGCTAATCTCCAATTGTATACGGCGTGATAACGCCAGTTCAATACTATTTGCATTGAACAGGCAATAGAGCGGAATCAAAGCTCCAAAGTGCTCGTCAGAGATTTGGCTATTGAGCGAAACCAACTGACAAAGTTGGAGACCGATACCGGTAATATAATTTACGCCACATCTAAGATTTTGAGTAAGATCTATGGGCAGCTGTACACAACGTTGTTGACACCGCATACTAAAGCGAATAACGACGAAAGAGCTAAAGTATACCAGATGTCAGTTTACAGAAGATTGAAATGGCTCTCAAACAGCTTAAAAATGGAAAAGGCACCAGGGGAGGATGGAATTATAGCAGGGAGGCTATTTAATTTCGTTATCCATAACGGTGTTACGCTAGAGCCGTGGAATAGAAGTGCGGTAGTCTTGTTCTTCAAGAAGGGTGACAATACCCTATTGAAGAACTGTAGACCAATATTCCTTCTGAACCGCGTCTACTTACTGTTTTCAAGAGTTCTGATCAATTGTCTTAAGCGGAAATTCGACGACTTCTAGCCACCCAAATAAGTTGGCTTCCGATAGACTACATACATATGCTACGGCAGATTACACAGATGACTGAAGAGTATAATCTGTCACTATGTCTGGCGTTTGTGGACTACGAGAAAGCTTTTGATTCGGTCGAGACAGTACTAGTCCCTCCAACGGTGCCAGATTGACTGTAGGTATATCGTAGTGTTGAAGTGTATTAACAGTAAGACTACGATGTCTATCCGAGTACAGAACAAGAATATGAAACCCATCCCAGTGCAGAAAGGTGTAAGATAGGGGACGTCACATCCCCGAATATCCTTACAGCTGCATTGGAAAATGATTTCAAATTTTTGGACTGGAAAAGATGGTATAAACATCAATGGCGAATACATCACTCACCTTCGATTTGCCAGTGATATAGTAATTATGGCGAAATCCCTGGAGGAACTGAATACTATGCTCCATGACCTCAAAGGTGTTTCTTAACAGGTAGGTCTTAAGATGAACACGGACAAGACTAAAATCATGTGTAACGTTTATGTCACACCTATACCTGTTACGATTGAGAACACTACTCTTGAAGTTGTCGATAAGTATGTATACCTGGGACAAGTTGTCCGAATGGGTAAGTCTATCTTCGACCGAGTGGTCAACCGATGAATATAACTTGGCTGGACAGTGTTTGGAAAACTACGCCACATCTTTTCGTCCAAAATATCTCAGAGTTTGAAGACGAAGGTCTTTAACCAGTGCGTGTTGCCAGTGATGACATATGGGACCGAGACATGGTCCTACACGATTGCTCGTATGCAAAAACTTTAATTTACTCACTGGGTTATGGAGAGGGCTATGCCCGAGCATAGCCGAGCATAGAGAGTCCGAACTCTCTTTGCGTGATAGGATATAAAACGAAGATATCCACAAAAGAAACAATGTATCCGATATAGCCCGAAGGATAAGCAAGCTGATGTGGCAATGGGTTGGTCACATAGCTCGAAGAACCGACAACCAATAAGGAGAAAAGGTTCTTGAGTGACGGCCCCTTATGGTCAAATACAGTGTAGGACGACCTCAAATGCATTGCAGGAAATTAGTGAATGCAGATGGCTCAGGACCGTTCCTTATGGCAGTCTATGGGTGAGGCCTATATCCAGTAGTAGACAGATAATGGCTGAAATGATGATAGGCGATAATTCAGTAAACAGAATATATCTCTAATATTAAATTAAATAAGTAAGTAAAGTCTTTAAAAATTTCACAATGCACAATGGGTCACAACGCTCAATGGCTATGTGTGAATATAACAATTTAAATAAGTAAACATATTATATTTTTCAGTCACAGCTCGAAATCGACTCATTCCGGAAGTAATTCAAGTGGTAGCAGTGGTTATGGTGGAAAACCCTCCACATCTGGAAGCAGGTTGGTGTATAATTTATACCGTTGTAATTATAGGGTAGCAGCGTCCCTGCCAAGTGTGGCAACTAATGGCAAACTCCCTCCCTCCCCTCATAGTAAACATCATCAGAAAGTAGCCCCCAGTTCCCGGCGGTTCCGCTATTCCTGACCACGGTAGCAGTCACGGTAACGGCGGAGCAAAAGGTGCTAAAAATCTCCGGTCGAGATTCCGCTATCAACCAAGACGATTAGATCTGGCAACATACAATACGCGAACTTTGAGGACTGATAAGAAGGTTGTGGAGCTGGAAGAAGAGGTGAACAAGTTACACTGATATATCATAGGATTATCTGAAGTTCGAAGATAGGGGAAGGATACGATGATCCTTGAATCCGGTAATTTGTTCTACCACTGGGAGGCGGCGACCATACATTTCATGGTGGTATAGAGTTCATCGTACGCAAGTTCCTCGTCAATAAAGTCTTAAAGATCGAGAGCGTGTCGGCAAGGGTGGTATACCTGATACTTAAAATTACCAAAAGGTGTTTTTTGAAGGTTATTCAAGTATATTTGCCGAACGTGACACACTCCGATAATGAGGTGGAGGTAATGTACGAAAACCTTACAAGAGCTATACATTCCTCTAATACTCAATACACGGTATTGATGGGGGACTTAACGCTAAACTGGGCACAAGGATAAACGATGAGACGAGAATGCGGAACTACATTATCGGGCAGCGAAATCCTAGAGGACAGCAGTTTTTTTATGGATGATAATGGAATGGCAACTTTGCCTACGCTTTCGGTATACACTGACGAGGCACCAGTGAGGGATGGTAGGTGAGGATGAAAAGGTAGGTCAGTTAGCCCATCGTGATGAATGTACTTGGAATTCAGCAAGATTGATTCCAGGGGAGACAATGTGGAGGTCGACCTGACAGGGTATATTGCTAGCAATGAGACACAGCAGACAAGAGACAATGAGAGGGACAGCAGTTGGCTGATTTCATGGAGGAGGGACTCTTTATAATGAATTATTTTTTCGGTCTGTCAATCAAAAAATGGACCTGGGCTAGCCCTGAGGTATACACAAAAATGAGATAGACTTCATTATGACGACTAATCGCTATTTGTTCAGTGATGTTTTAGTTATCAACAGGTTTAAAACCAGAAGTGATAACCGAATGGTAAGGGGCACATTGAACCTGAATATTAGGCTTGAAAGGTTTCATCTGATGAAGTCTACGCTCCAACCTTCAACTCGAATTGTCAAATTGCTTTCAGTGCCTGCTGAACTGTGAAACAGCGAACAATATTAACAATAAGCTAGTGGAAACTATCCAAGTAGTTGGAGCTAAACTTTGCAAGTCCCAACGTTTAAAAAGAAACCGATAACTCTCTGATCACACTCTAGATCTTATGAGGAAACAGCGTGAATAATGGTTGCAGTCTTCAAAGTTTAAATTAAAATATGGGTAGCTTAATAGGCAAATCTCCAATTGTATACGGCGTGACATACGCCAGTTCAATACTGTATGCATTCAACAGGTAATAGAGCGGAATCAAGGCTCCAAAGTGCTCGCCAGAGATTTGGCTATTGAGCGAAGCCAACTGACAAACTAATACTGATACCGGTAATATAATTTCCGCCACATCTGAGATTTTGAGTAAGATTGAGAAGTTTTATGGACAGCTGTACACAATGTCGTTAACACCGTATACTGATGTGAATAAAGACCAAACAGCTAAAATATACTGGACGTGAGTTTGCAGGACATTGAAATGGCTCTCAAACAGCTTAAAAACGGAAAAGGCACCTGGGGAGGATGGATATATAGCAGAGCTTCTGAGAACGGGTGAAAAACCGGTACTTGTAGTCTTTATATATCAAAACATTTCTAGCAATAAATACTATGCTCAATGACCTCAATGGTGCTTCTCAACAGGTAGGTCTTAAGATGATGGACAATATTAAAATCATGTCTAACGTCCATGTCACACCTATACCTACAAATTCCCTGAAGTCCCTATGGGTGGGAGTAATCACTTACCATCAAGTGAGGAGTTGTATGCACGTTTGCTCCTATGTAATAAAAAAATCAAAAGAATTTATTAATTCATTGGATATTTTGCTTCGTTACTAATTTCACTTGATACTTGGTTATATTTTCATTAAGTTCTGTTGAAACATACAATAATAATATTAGATCTCCTGATTTGTTTATATAATATTGTGATCTGTGGCTATTCGCCATTAAAATTGATCTCAATTTTTTTATTAAAATATGGATATTTTAACTATTGTAATAATGTTCATAAAACACGCTACAATACTGTGTTTTAAGAACAGTCGAGCGACTACGGTGGCTGTAGCACTTAAGGGTTCCTATGCATGCGACAAAACACGTGTCATTAAATCCGTGTTAAATTATATCATAATTAGCTAATTTGTACCTTGTTTTGTTGCGTATTGGTGAGCAATTAATTAAAAGGACAGTTCATAGATTTATAGTATATAATATACTGTAAATTATAAAAATTAATTGAGAAGAATTTCTGAAGATGACAGAAAAGGTAATAGAAAATTCTTTTATGTTAATCTTACTAATATAATAAAATTTTATTAGATTATTAATAATAAAATTAATTTAATCTGCATGTGGGAAATATGAAAAAAAAAATGTTATTAGAGGTCTTAATAAGAGCAGTAGAAGCTAAAATAATATTTTTTTAGAGATTTTGTTTCTCTGCATGATTATTCCAGTGTCACGTAAAAACAATTAGTAAATTTTTCTATAGTATTAACAGTTGTATTCCTAGAGGGTTAAGTAAAAAACTGTTGTACGTTTTATCTTGTTACGCCATTTTCAAGTGGTCAACTTTACGGGTTTTCCTACTTTTGAAACCATGAGTACGAAGTAGCGGGCAAAAAACTTAATTGAAAATTAGTATTACTAATTAAGAATTAAATGTCGTAAATATTTTGATGAACACTTCGTTTACTATTTAGTGATCAACAACAAGAAAAAAGAAATAAAGAAAAAGAACCTAAGAAAAAGAAGCAACCCCAAACAGAGAATGTCATACCACAACCACCGCCTGAAGAAGAAAGCGGGCCTGTTGAACCGGTACAGGTCGTCAAAACACCCAAAGAAGAAATAATAATAAACGAAGGTGCGTGATGTTTTAATTGACTTATAATTAATTAATAATTAGTATTTATAACTAACCCTGATATATATTTTTTACAAATTATTATAGAGTTTATTACTTCATAATAAAATTATATTTATTTTATTATAATTTTATATTCTAAATTAAATACAATATTTGTATATACGTTTTTTAAAGACTAATAATATATATGTATACATTATGAATATAATATCTGTAAGATTTTATTTTAGGACTTGCAACATGAGACTCAGACAGTTTTGCGAAAAAAGCTCTGTGGGTAACAATTTGTAATTTTTTATTCAAAAAAGGTCATTCTTTTTTTTATAATTTTCTTTGTTACCTACCACATATTGAATTAGCGGTCCGTATTCAATAACCTTTCAAGCTATGTCTGGGTGTTCTAATTTATGCCCCAGATTTCATATGCATCGCTTCTCATACGGCACACAACAACAGCTTATATATATATATATATATATATATATATATATATATATATATATATATATATATATATATATATATATATTATCACTATATATATATATATACATACACATATATTATTACTTCGTTGCTATTCTATCGCATTTTCTGTCTCCACATTTCCTCTACTCTTTTTTCACTTATGATTTTTTTCGTGTTTTTCGTTAACGTAGGGAGAAATTATATTTATTAGAATTTATATCTTGCAGTATTCAATAAATTATTAGAAAAATGACAATTATTATATAGCATTTTTCGTAAAAATACCTTACAGTTTTCATGTAGCTTCATTCATTCTTACAAAAAAAACCTTCCACATGTACTTTTTTCCCTTACCTAAAGTGAGTCGTATATTTTTTTTGCTTAAATATAATTTATTAACGACAAGTTGCAGTTAGGACCGCTTTATCATCAATAGTCGGACTTGTGATCCATAGATAAAATTTCTATCGCAAAATAGTCTGAGTATTCTGGCACCACAGTAGGTATATCAGTATTTTTCGCATAATAAGTAATAAAAAAATGCGATATGTGATTGCCTACGACGAACAAATGGAAACCATACATCCAATAGATAATTATGTATTAATGTTAAAATCATATTACTATATAAAATTATAATAGTGGTAGTAGGTAATTTTGATTCGATTACTCTCAAGATGCGGATATATTTTTAGTATAACACAAAGATTTTGTAAGTATTACAAAGAAGTTTAATTAAATTTATACTCTTGGAGCCACTCCGTACAGAGAAGATATGTGTGTATCTTGCATAAGTTATATCACTCGTATTCTACGTATGACATTGTTGCTTGTGCATGTATGTATTTATTACGTACAGATACAGTCATCTAGAATCTTCCCATGTGTCGGAAATATTGGTAATAAGCAATGAGTAAATATTCTTACTTCTTTGAGTACTACTAAAGTACAGTCCCAGTCTAATGCGTTGCATTTTTAAATTTTATCTTGTTTTTGAAAACAAACAAATGTTGATTTGCCTTTCGGAGGACATGTAGAGGTGTCGTCCGGTCCGAAAGTCTTTGTTTATAACGAAAGCATCCTACGAGCTCCGAACACCAGAGCACCCCACTCTCACCCGTTTATAAGTATTTTGAGTAGTAATATTTTGCATCTTCGATCTTTGAGTCAAAATAATCTTGACTTATAACATAGGTTGTGACATTGGGTGTATAAAGGCACCATATATTTCTACTTTAGTGTTCACAGGATATTATTATTTTATACAAAGTATTTGTTCAGTAGTCGTTTTTTTATTTCATTAGTTTTCCTTTTAGCTTCAATTTTATGGAAACTATAACGTTTATTTGCTATTCCAAGCTTTATAAAAAGTGATCTTTTTCCGATATAGTATTTTTATAACTTCATTATAGTGTAGTTAGGTAAGTATATTCTTAAATCAAAGTGCTCAGTAGTTAAAATATTAGTCTCCTCACAATGAAAATTAAATTATTTGTGTGTTAATAAATTGTAATAGTTTTATTAACTCCATGAAAATATTGCGTAAATAATGTTCAAAAATATTTAAGTTCATATTTATATAAGTAATATTATATACTTTTCACATTACTCTTCAAACATTTATATATCAGATAGATATTACTTTTTTCTTCTTAATTTCCTTTTGTCACTATACAATATAAGAATAGAATATTAATACGTATTCTGTTTCTGATTACATGTAATACGTATTTTTTGTGAAATTATAATTAGAAAATAATACTTTTGAATATTAAAAGTGCTTTGATATTATTAATTCCCAACGCTGGATTAATTTGGTTTAATTGATTATTATATCTATGTCTTTTCATAAGTATACATGTTGCAATTGTATTTAATTTTTATTAATTGTAAACTCTTTTTTTTATTGTTATCCATTAATCCACAATAATCCATTGTGACACACAAATATCGTTATAATGTTTTCATCACCACAATCATTATTTGGTTTCTTATTTTGCTAGGAATAGATTCATTCAATAATTATTATCGTTACAGAAGGCCAGGGGGATTGAAACTTCGCGTCAGTTGTATTTCTTATGTATTTACATAGGTACTTTACGGCGGGTTGGTAAGAGACAAAAAATTGAAATTGTGCAATAAGGTAATGTACTTCTTGGGTACTATCCGAATGCATGGGTATGTATATATTATATAATTGAACTATTAGCTTTAGTTTCTATGATAAATGTGCCTTTTATTTCAGATTAAGTTGTAGTATTGATATATTTGTTTGTTCATCTTTATCTTCCGTCTATAATTTGTTGTGCAGTTGACCAGACACCATCGCCACAACTAGCACAGGATGAGAACGGTCCGGAAAGTATGGATGTAGCCGTTGAAGACAGACTCAGTGTTATAGATGAGGTGAGTAAATACTATATATCTATAGGGAAAACGTCAAAGGTCCTCTTCACTCCTCGTAGACGAGGTAGAGGACTCGGCGAAGCTCTTTATCCTGGTTTCATCTCCGGGGGCTATTACATACCTAGTAGACTGATGTCTTGTTTGGAGGCACCAACAGCGCAGCAATTACTCTAGTATTTGCTGTGCATCCTTTTAAGGGAGCGTTCCATCAGTAAAACTGATCTTTTTTCAATGATACATTAGTAGAAAAAAGGAACTTTATAGCAGAACATGTCGTATTATTACGTGGTGCTCAATATTTTTGTTGGTTTTCAACTCATATTTCCGTTTATTAAAAAAACGCTAACTCTATTAAAAAAATGCTAATTATATCGATTTCAATTAGCTAAGTCTAAGGTATAATAAAAAAATGAAACTGTTTTTAGAAATAATCTCACATAATAGCGGTTGAAAATATTTCTTTCCGTAGGTTGTTTCGTGCAATATATCGACGGTCAACACAATGAACCTGGTACCCTGCCGATCGACATCTTCCGCCTGTTCAGTAAGTAACTAATAATTAACACAGTTCTATTTTGTGCATCATGTGTAAATAATTGGAGAAAAAACTGTTATTCTAAAAGCATCCATACGCTTTTTTAAACTTTCTTCTAAAATTTTTACATAACAAATCGTATATAAGCAAATCATTAAAAATATAATAACTATATTATATTTTGCTTTTTAAATACATTTTTTATCATTAAATTCTATATATTCTAGATATTTTAATATGAACTTGTATATATTTCGTGAATTTATATTTTGTAAATTTTAAATTATTATTAAGAAATATGTTTTTTTTTATACAATTTAGAATGGCAAACAAGCTGACGGCCCACCTGATGGAAAGTGGTAACCGTCGCCTATGGACATGAGCAGTACCATGGATATAACAGAGTTACCGTTTCGCCCATGATACCCCCCATGCGTTGCCATTCCTGAGGACTCAGATGTTATTCCTTTGTACCCAGTAAATTCACGCCATATCCCACCCTTCAAACCGAAACACAGCCATGCAAACACAACTGCTTCACGGTTGAAACACGTATGGGACAGAGGTACCCAAGCAATCGACATTTATTCAAAGTCTCCCTTAAACTTGTTAATTTAAGTTTGAATATTAATACGTTGCATATGCTCTAATTGTTTTTATTTATTTATTATTATAGGAAGGATTTTCGTGTGTAATATCGATGGATGACGGTGTTATTATGTACACCACATCGTCTCTCACCGCTATGCTGGGTTTCCCGAAGGACATGTGGATCGGAAGGTCTTTCATAGATTTCGTCCATCCCAGAGTAAGTTGGTAAATTATTTTGTTTATTTTCCTTAAATCCTATACAGAGCAAAATAATTTCAAGTTTAAAAAAGAACTTGAGATAAAATAATGAGTTGTCATGATATGAAAGTTTAGTCGCACATGATGCTTTATTTATCTATGTATAGTGAAATAGTATTGGCACCTGAGAAGCCTACACAAATCTGTCATAATCTACACTAATATTATAATGAGGAAATATTTGTATTTTTGTGTGTATGTATATTTGTAATGAATAAACTCAAAAACTATTTTGTCGATTTCAAAAATTCACCATTAGAAAGCTACATTCATCCTGAGTAACATAGGCTATATTTATTGCTAGAAAAGATTAGGGATCCTTACTAAAATTTTAGTAACGTAACTCCAGGTGTAAAAAAATGCTATATCTTTCGTCGCGTTTGCTGCGGTAACTATTGGCGATAGAATAAAAGTATGTTCTACAATATTGAAGAAAATATCAATAACTATAAAAAACTTGCAAAACTATATGCCCAACTATTATCGTTATTTCACAATAACCACCTTTACATTTTAAAAGTTGATAGAAATACAGAATAAAATTACACCATTTTATTCATACTTCTGTTTATATCTTTATCCAAATAAATTATTTTGTATTCATAGTTGTTTTAATACCTGCAGATTACTTTTAAAATTTTTCAAATTGAAGGTTTATTCTATTAGAAAGATATTATGTTAAAAAGTTAGATATAAGAAAAGCGCCGCCTGCCGCTCGCGCCGTGTTGGCCGCGTGACTAGCTAGCCAGGCATTGAAGCGGTGCGGGAGAGGGGCAGGAGGGGACGGTCACATCTATGAAATAGGTAGACGCGCGGTCGGCTTCCTACGCACCGGACGTAATCGATATTGAACATTTTTTGACGATTTTAATTGCATTTTTTGTCGAAGTTTAAAAATATCCACCCGTGCGAAGCTGGGACGGGCCGCTAGTCAATATAAATGTTATTTCAACCACGACAATAACTAGTTATGACTCTATGAGTATGTAGTTCTCTCTATCTACTCTGTAAGGGGTCTAAATTGTCTATTGAATTTAGAAACTTCATACTACGAGGTCTGAGTGTGTAATTATTAGGTTTAGCTCTCTAAACATATTTTGTAATAGAAATGAAGAAAATTATAAATATATGAGTCCATATTGGATAACAATTTTGTAGAAATATACCCTATTGATAAATTATTTTTTATGTATATAAATAAAAAAAATATAGTTATTTATCTGTAAACCTTATAAACCTTATATTTATATATAAGGTTTATTAATCTTAAGTACATATATATGTTTTTAGATTAGAAATTTGATATATAAATTTATTTACAGGACCGGAATACGTTTGCATCTCAAATAACAAGCGGGTTGGCTGTTCCGAAAACTGTAAATGGTAAAGAAAAAGGTAAAAGTTATTTGAAAATAATCCATTGTGCCAATTTACGTTTACATTTTGTTGCATATTGCATGGAATCTGCTTTTTCGTGACATTAATGTATGGACCATAATTAAAACAAGTGAACTGGAGTAAATCTTTCGCACCTCGGTCTTCTGTGTAAAAGGGATGGTATGATAAGCCCATTTTCATTGGGTTTGTTTATTAAATACTCGTTACAAGAATATTTTGTCCGTTATTTTTTGTGCACACTACTTAGTTTATTGTCAGTTTATGTATTTATGATAATAAATATGTTAGTCCTCTTTTGTAAAAAAATACAATGTATTTATTTTTTTATGTCGTTTTTTACGAAGGGTTGTGTTTTGTATATTCAGTTTAATAATTGGCACATGGATGAACACGGTGAATGCTGATACTCTATTAGTTTGGTATACTTTCCAAATGTGTACACATAAGTGTCTTGTACACTAAGAATTTTAAAATTGAGTTAATTTACTATTTACCATCATTGATTATTATTTACTAAATCTATACATATTGAAATTCTATCTAGCATTCACTAAAACATATTAAAGTTAATAGAGAGTAAAAAAGATACTTTGCGCGTTATAGTATGGCCCGGGTAATAGGTAACAGACTTACAGAAAAAATCTAAAACATCTTTTTTTTTTGGTATTTATAATGGCAAACAAACTGACGGAATCTAATATAAACTGTGCAACGGAATCAACATTTGATAATAATACGACAATATTAGACTTAATTGCTTTCAACTCGAAAAATCTGTATGTAATTTAAACAGCTAACATGTCAGCTGTGACGTGCAAAGTATGAATTCAGTTGTTTTTACATAGAATTTTTATGTTAAAACAATTGAATTATTATGACCTCTGTTAATTTTGTGAATCTGGCTATAATCATAATGCTACGAATTTTATACGTATGTATATTTTTTAAATAATTTTATAATGCATCTCATCTGTTCCAGCTCAATCTCCAGGGAGTTCTGTGTCGACTATCGTGTGTCGGATCCGTCGGTACAGAGGACTGAACTCCGGCTTTGGTGTCAAGGAACACGGAGTGAAATTTATGCCTTTTCTTCTTAAACTCACATTCAAAAATGTAAATGAAAAAGATGGCAAAATCATTTATTTGGTGATACGAGCTACGCCTTTTGTCTCAGCTTTCAAAGGTATTTTTTATTTTCGTAATATATTTTTATTTATTTATTTATTTATTCATTAGTACAAATATGTGACGCTTAAAATATATTAACGCTGGTAAAGTGTGAAGCAGTTTAGCGAAAATAGTTATTGAGTAATTGTTTACATAAAAGTAATAAAATACAAATAATCCTTTACGATCAGTTATGATAATCACAAACACTTTTGTTTTAAAAACACTTACATGAAAAATAACATTGTTAAAAATGAGGTTAGTCTGTTCATTGTTACCCTGATTGATTTATGTTTATTGTGAGTTAAGTTTTAAACATGTTGTAAATAAATTATAAATATTTCTTCATAAATTTTAGTACCAAACGAAACTGTAACAAAAGCTGTGCCATTCGTGATGCGTCACTCTGCCAACGGTTATATAGATTACATTGACCCCGAGTCTGTCCCGTACCTTGGATATTTGCCTCAGGATCTAACTAATAAAGACGCGCTTCCCTTGTATCATCCAGAAGATTTAGTGTATTTGCGTCAAATGTATGAAACGGTTGTGAAGCAAGGGGGGATGCCGCGCTCCAAACCGTACAGGTTAGTTATTGCGTTAATAAATGTTTAAAATTAATAAAAAATAAAAATATTGTATATACTGTTGATTATAGATGCCGCCGTGTAAGTCAGAATACACTTGTACTCCACAAAGTGCCAAGAATTTCCAGCATCAACAGTATATTTCTGTTTTATATATCTTTATAAGTCACATCACTCTTGTACCACTTCGATAAATTTTATTTTATCTATATTTTATGACCGAAAATAGGTTAGGGTATTAAATATAGTTAAATAAAAATTTGTAGAAATGATACAAGTGTGTTCTAATTTATAAAAAAAAACCTGCCAACTATTGCTGATGTGGTGAACGTAACATGCTTATATCTATATAATATTTCTACAAGTATATTAGAATTCAACGTGGCAGCAACCGAGTCTACTGCTAGAAATTGAAATCGACACAAAGATTTCAATGCCGGCCAAATTCGAACTCATGACTTTTGCGGTCTGCAAGATGTGGTAGTATTACTTGGCTTTTACAAATAAAGGTTGCCTGAAAACTAAATTCATTATTAATACATGTTAACACATAATATATATTCACATTTTCAGAATGATGACTTACAACGGTGATTATATAAAAGTAGAAACTGAATGGTCTTCTTTCATCAATCCTTGGTCTAGAAAACTGGAATTTGTCAGCGCGAAAATTTTTATTGTCGAGGTATGTTTTAATGCATGAATCGTTAAAATGTTTAAAATTATTCTCACTACAAGATACACTGAATGTGGCGCTACGTATACCTCATTTGCTAATTGCGTTAATTATAGTAAACAGTCTATATTGTTTTGATAAGTAAGGGTCAGAATAGACAATCGAAACTGCGGTAAAAAATGACAAAACACTGACCGAAAATTTCTTTTGTTCTCATATTTGTGCTTATTATAGCTCCTTGCGACTCCGTGAACTGCCGATTGTCGCCCTTTTGTTATACGAATTTCAATCGTATGCTTGTGTATCTAAAGTTAATTTTCAAACAACAACAAGATAGTCTTGTCTTCCGTCAATCTGTTTGATTTTTTTACAAATTTTATAGAATAAGATAATAATATTAAATAAGGTACAGAAAGATTTGATTATGTATATTATATGAGTATACACATCTATCCTATGATATATGTGAGCTATATTTTTTCAGGGTCCATCTAATCCAGACGTTTTTCACCCAATGGAATCAGACAAAGTTTTGAAACTAACTGAAGAGGAGAAAATTAAGTCACACGCATTAAGAGAAAGCATTGTCAGAATTTTAAATGAAGTGAGTAAATTATTACACGTACCATAACTGTCCCTTTTGCTTATTGTTTTCCTAAAATATAAGAGATGGAAATTAATTCGATGTGGTCAATTCCTGTCTCTTATGAATCATAAGTCTGTATTGTAGTTTTACAATCTTGTTACTGTTATTTGATTTGGCTTTTCTTATTTGGATTTCAGAAATGAAAGTTGGTAGTTTATATTGTTTTATTACTGAGGTTCTATGATAATAACTATAAAATTTAATAGGTGCTGACAAAACCTGCGGAAGTAGCTAAACAACAAATGAGTAAACGGTGCCAAGATCTCGCCGTCTTTATGGAAAATCTGCTGGAGGAACAACCAAAAGCGGATGAAGACTTACGTTTGAAAATACAGGATCAAGACAATAGCTATTATGTGAGTTCTCACAATTTAATGGAATTTAGATTTAATATATTTATACAAAAAGTAGGATTTTGTTACAAAATGTGTGACCAACTTAATGGTAATGTTGATGTTGGTAGAAATGACGTTTAGTATAAATGTTCAAGTTAGTTACTTGAACATTCATTTATATATGATTTACATTACATGGTAAATCATAAATAATTATTTTGTGCAGGAGCGGGATTCAGTGATGCTCGGTGGCATATCACCTCACCATGACAACAATGACAGCCAGTCCAGTACCGAGACACCGCTTAGCTATAACCAACTCAACTACAACGAAAATCTTCAAAGGTTACTATTTGTTTATTTGTTCTTTGAGTAGGGTTTTTTTTTTTTATTTAAGAAGATTGTGTGTAATAAACGGTAATTGTTGAGAGGCATTAAAGAGGAGGAAATTGTCGATTTTTAATTAGTAATTCATTACTATTAGTAGTAATAATAATATTTAAATTTTAATAAATATACTTTTTATTTTATATAATTTTGTTAATGTTATTACATAAAATTGTGAACTACTTTTTTAACGTCAGTTCATTGGTGCTTATTGTTGAATTTAGATTTTATATTATATATTTTTTCCAGATATTTCGACAGTCATCAGCCTTTTCGTTCTGAAGATTTTATTTTCGGGCCTGGTGGATATATAGTGACGGAAAAAATTACCCATCCTCTAACAAGGTTTGTATGAAAAATGGTAGGATCAATATACAAGATTGCTTCAATGTCTCCTTTGCTTACTGTCAACCGAAAAGGATTACTAAGACTCTAATAGACGGTAGGAGACTTATAAAATAATAAACTTATCTAGATTATTCATAGCTAGCTGGGTAATATACTAATTAGTAAATAATATACTAATTTGTAATGTAATCTTTACATTCGTAAAGGCCGAGGTTTAAACCATATGATAATAAACAATGGTAATCATGGTTAACTTATTGATATGGGTACTCCTAATTGGCGTATCCAACGTTTGTACTAATATAAAATTTTCTAGGTTCTCATCAATACACATCGTAAATGAAGTAACGTACCTGAAACACGTGATTCAAATGCTCGGACGGAGATATACGCAGAAAAGCTAGTTGTCATTATTAATACCCCCCCCCCCCCCCCCCTTACCTTACCTTACCTTATATAATTGTTTAACATTATTTATCATAGACGAAACTGACCTCTATATTAATTCTGTGGATCATTGGCTCATATTCCTCTGTGTCTATCTTGGAAGGGTGTTTTATATTAACTAGCCGTTATTTATATATATTAGATTGATTTTTTTATGTTTTCTTACATGCATTTATTTTTGTAGCTGCCTGTCCCCGTTAGCGACAATTTCCGGAGACTCTGTCGAGATGAACAGTTCTTGCGGGAGTAACCCGGACTTAATGCCGATTAGTTGTGCCCCTACATTGAGCGGATTCCAACAAGTGCGGCTCACCGAGGCGATTATTAATAAGTTAGTAGTTATTATTATATGTTATACTAGCGGCCTGTCCCGGCGTCGCACGGGTGGACATTTTTAACATTCCTTTTCACTGCTCTGTTCCTATTAATCGTAGCGCGATTAAAACTATAACCTGCACAGGAGTATGAAGAATAATTGTACCAAGTTTCGTTAAAATCCGTCAAATAGTTTTTGTTTCTGTAACGAATATATGATATATGGTAATCTATAACGGTGATAGATGAGAATGAAAACAGGCCAGTTAGCCCATCATGATGAATTCATCAGGAATTAACCATGATAGTTTCCAGGGGGAACCGCGAGGAGATCGAACTGGTTAGGTATATTGCTAGCAATGGGATTCTTAGTCTCCATTACTAACAATCCCTTTCCCCCCTGACATTCTATATTCATTCAAATATTCCTATATTTTTGATATATACATGGTTGGTGATTCTAATTAAGTGATACATAATGTTTTTTCAGGCATAACGCAGAAATGGAAAAGGAGCTGATGAAAATTCATAGAGAATTAAGCTGTAGTACCAAAGGTGAAAGAGAAAAGATATCCAAGGAAAACAGGAAGAAGAGGAAAGAGCATTTAGCAAGATGCAATGCAACTTTCCAGCCAACTGCAGCCGGCACTCCGTCTGTCGCTGAAACCCCGGTAGAAGATCTACTTATTCTATTCTAGCTTTTATCCGTGTGACCAATCAGGATGAGTAGTTTATGCCCTCTATCTCTTATGGTACATTTATATCTTAGTGATTTATTAAGCTATTCAGGTTTTAAGAAGTAATAAACAAATAAATACACAAACAAACTCATATTCACATTAAGACTTTCAAGAAAGTAAGCATAGTTATTATCAACCTTTATCAGTATAGTCCGAGACAACAAAACTTAGATGCCGAATTAAAACTATTATAATGGCCGTATGTCATATGGATTTTTTATGGCATTAAAGAATATTTGAACTCAGATCTTCTGAACCATTTTTATGGATTTATTTAGTTGCATAAATGTGGTATCTCCTAAGCATTTTTTTTCTAATTGAATATTTGTTGAATAATATAATTATTAAGAATCCTGCAACAAATTAGAGTAGTAGTAGTCTTCACTACTTTATCTAAAATCCTTTTAAAACTTTTATATTTATATTGTTGATGATGTCTATATTATTATTATTTTCTTTGAAATAGCGCTCACGAAAGTCTATTCAAAATGTGAGTAAATTACTTGGTGTGATATTTAATTCTATTCATTTTAATTGTATTACAAGAAAAAGGCATTTGTTAAAAGTCTGAAAGTTATTTTAGTAACAAAAAATACGTAAGAATAAGTCATCTTTTAAATAATATAAATACGTATGTAATCGTAGAAGACGATTAAAAAAACAGATGGACTGTGTGGAAGATGATATGCATGAAATAATAGTGAGTCCGAGTGTGATGCTTTATAAGGATTAGAGTAAGAAGAAAATATATTCTTGAATATACAAAATTCTGTGGTACGTTTATCTTTATTGATTAATCGATTTCAATGACATTTATAAATGTGAATTAATTTGTGTGTATGGTTTTTTCCGACAAGATAAAAAAGGCCCCGCATGTGGCGGTAGGGGGTCGTTAGCAAAAAACAGTTTGCCGAGTCAGCTAATTTATTACAATAAATAAATATGTAGCATATAATATTTTTGAATATTCTTATTTCTGTTGACTCTGGAAATTTGAGGCACTTGGTAAATTTGGAATCCATCTTTATAAGTAAGAAAATACTCCCACATGTACATCTATTTCTCATTTATGACTATTCCTGACAGTTACCATGTTAATAATATGGAAATGGTTATGAATTATTTGATTCGAATTTTAACGAAAGTGTAAATTTACAGCGTCATGGGATAAAGCGCTCAAAACAATTGGACTTTGAAGAGAGCTCACACAAGCATCATTGTTCATCGACGCGGACAACTCGACGTAAGCAAACGACGAGCGCTGCTGCAGCACAATGCTCCTCTACAATCACAACAACCGTAGGTCTGTATATCATTACAACTGTAATTACAACAAAGTAGTGCCAATTCCAGAAATGGATAGCAGCATCCCTTTTAAATATCTCAAAAGACCTAACTGTGGTTGCCAAACCACCTGCCAAGCATGGCAACTACTAGCAAAACCCCCCAATGGTAAACACTAAAGAAGCGGCCCCCAGTCCCCGGCGGTTCCGCTATTCCTGATCACTGTAGCGGTCACGGTAATGCGAAGCAAAGGGTGCTAAGAATCTCCGGCAGAGATACTGCTACCAACCCCAGCAATTGGGCCTGGCAACATATAATGCACGAACCTTAAGGACCAGTTAGTTACACTGGGATATTATAGGATCATTTGAAGTCCGAAGACATGGGAAGGATACGATGATTTTTGAATCCGGCAACTTGTTCTACTACCGGGAGGGACCCGACACCACCGTGGGACGGATGGTCACCCTCTGACCATCCGTCCCACGGTGGCGTCGGGTTCATCGTCCGCACGTCCCTTGTTAATAATGTTCTAAAGATAAAGAGTGTGTCCGCAAGGGTGGTATACCTGATACTCAGAATTACCAAAAGGTATTCGTTGATGAAGGAGAGGCAGTCTATGAAGGCATTACAAGAGCCATGCATTGTAATACTCAATATACAGTATTAACAGGGAACTTTAACGCTAAACTGGGCAAAAAGAAAGCTGATGAGATGAGAATGGGCAACTCCCTTCAGCAGTGACAGATTGACTATAGGTATATCGAAGTCTTGAAGTGTATGTACAGTAAGGCTACGATGTTTACTCGAATATAGAATCAGAGTACGAAACCCACTGTGGTGCAGAAAGGTGTAAGACAGGGGACATCATATTCCCGAAACTCTTCATAGCTGCATTGGAGGATGCTTTAAAACTTTTGGGCTGCAAAATATATAGTATAAACATCAATGGCGAATACATCACTGGCCTTTGATTTGCTGATGACACCAATAATCATGGCGAAATCCCTGGAGGATCTGAATACTATGTTCTATGACCTCAATGGTGTTTCTTAACAGGTAGGTCTTAAGAAGAATGTGGACAAGACTAAAATCATGTGTAACGTCTATGTCACACCTATACCCGTTACGATTGAGAACACTACTCTTGAAGTTGTCGATGAGTATGTGTACCTGGGACAAGTTGTCCGAATGGATAAGTCCATCTTCGACCGAGATGTCAATCGAAGAATTCAACTTGGCTGCGCAGCGTTTGGAAAATTACGCCATATCTTTTCATCCAAAATACTTCAAAGTTTGAAGACGAAGGTCTTTAATTAGTGCGTGTTGCCAGTGATGACTTATGGGACCGAGACATGGTCCTACACGATTGCTCGTATGCAAAAGCTTCAATTTACTCAGCGGGCTATAGAGAGGGCTATGCTCGGAGTCTATTTGCGTGATTGAATATGAAATGAAGGTATCCGCAAAAGAACCAATGTGTGGGCCGCATGCTTCTTCGATTAAATTATTTCTTTCTTTCTTCTTTCTAATCGACATAGACCGAATGATGGAGTAACGACCTGAAATGCATTGTAGGGAATCAGGTGGATGCAGGTGACTCAGGACTGTTCTTTATGGCACTCTATGGGGAAGGCTTATGTCCAGCAGTGGACAGATAATGGCTGAAATGACAATGATGATGAGTACCAATTTGGCCCAATAACGCTTGATTGCGATCCAGCGATCCCAAGATCGAATCCCAACTTAGACCTCTGATTTTTCAAATTCATGTTTAAAATTCGTCATATAAAACTGATTATTACTCGCTTTGATATAATACTATAACTGAGTCTGCTATATTAATATAGATATTTTCTTCGCCAGCTGCCAACCATTGGACACCGAACCCAATGAACAACATGAACACGTTCATACTGGGCGTCGGATTACCACAACAAATGTCGATCATAAGACCGGTGCTTCCGCAACAAATGCCTACTATGACTGCCGTGCCAGGTATTGTTTACTATCATAATATATATATATATATATATATATATATATATATATATATATATATATATATATATATATATAAATCCCGTGTGGTTGTGTGGTCCCGGCATAGAATAGGCCACCTCTTTCTTTTCCGTGAATGTAGTAAGAACCGACTAAGGGAAGCGTTCTTCTTAAAACATCTTTAAAACCTGTTTACGGTTGGCAATCCGCCTGCCAGCCATGGCAATTACTGGCAAAACCACCTAAGGGAGAGTCTTATGTTCAGCAGTGTAAAGTTAAAGGCTGATATAATGATGATGATAATACAAATTCCGTGTCATAATGTTCTTTCATTGTAATTTCCAAAACTGCTCGACTGATTTTATTGGAAACTTGTAAATGTGTATTGATTCTTCCAACTTGAGACAATTTTTGCCCCGGTAAGAAGAAATGGACTCGGTAGATGGCGTTAGGGGGCAAAACAACTTTTGCTGTTACAGATACCGATAATATATGTTTAATTACGTCATCCCTATCTCCCAATTAGCACTTTTATAATTTACCACATCGTGTTACAAAATTGTATTATATGACTATCATGACTTAATAGGATATAATTCTGTAGAGATACTTTAATGTTCCGTTCACATAAACGATATTATTGTGGAAAATTCAAAGCATATGTAAATATGCTTGTAAAAGCGCATGTAAGTCCTTCGTGCTTCGTCCGTAAATCAGCTTAAAACTCTTGACACGAGATGGCGACATCCTTACACGAGTAGTTGTAGTAGATTCACGGTTTATTCAATTTAGATAATGTTTATACAGGCATGTTCCCAATGTATTACGCCCCGGCGGAGTCAGCCCCAGCCTTGGCCTCGAGTTCGAGCAATGTAGACGCCTCTAAAAATACTGGGCCATATCCAGCGCAAGCGAGTAAGTATATAAATTAGTACTTGTCATAAAATCAATAATTAATACATAATCAATTTATATTGGCTTTACTTTTATTTATTAAATTCAGGGTTAAACTGACAGGGGTTACTATTTAACAAATTAATAATAGTTTGATCAAACTTAAACATTCCATTGAAATTATTGATACAATTGAAATTAATTTACGTGTATGTGTACTGTGACTATAATTTTCATTAAGATATATCCTATTTATATTTATCATTCAATGTGAAATAAATAAGCAAATTTCGTTTTCTAAATTTTTTATCTTTTTTCTTGTTTTGTTTGACCATTAATTATTTGTCAAGATATTGGAATTATCTTGACGACGTTGCTATATTTCAGCTCTTGAAAAAAGTACACCGTTAATTGCATGCCGTTTATTGTTTTATTTTTAAAATCTGTATTGATAATATTTACAGTGCAATGCATGATGTACGGACAAACGGTGTACGGGTCTCCATTTGTGTACTCCCCTATAACGCCGCACGTGTCGTACCCGATGCAGCAGACTATGATGCCGCAGCCTATGCAATGCACCAACACCACGAGTCCCTTAGGGCTCACAAGTAGTAATTATGAAGAGGTGAGTAAAATTAAAATTTCATAAATATGTAGTTGAAAGTTTTATGTTCTATAATAAAAAAAATTGTTTATCACTAGTTTCCAACGATATTGCATACTTTAGGTAATTTGACTTGACTTCAAAGCATGGAGTTTGGGACTAAGAAGTTATTAGAGGCTATAGAATATAAACTTTCAATTTATATTGGAATTTACTTTATAATTTGTTTCTTTATAATGTGTTTGTATAAGTTTTGTAATAAAAGCTTTAATGTACAGGCATGTAAACCTAGTTTACACCTGAGATCAAGTAAATTGGGCAACTGGCGGGACAAAAAGCCAACTGAATCTCAAGGCACGACGTCTAAGATGGGACAAGGAAATGTGGATAGCTTATATTCTTCAAATACTTTAAATCGGGTATGTGAATTTAGACTTTATGTACTCAAGAATAGGAATTAAATTAATTCTAAAGTTAACATACACACTTAATACATTTTTGACAAATTATATATATATAGTGCACCTATACTTATAATTATTTACGATCAAATACAAAATTTAAAATGTAATTTTCAATCAGGCATTTTATGTTCTGTAATATTTATGAATAATACGTTTTATTGCAAAAATTATATTGAAAAAAGAATAATAGAAGTTATCCTTATGTAATTTTGCATTTTAAAGTGGTGGATTGACAAACAATGTTTATAGAATCAAAGGAAGCCTTTGAATCATTTATCTGAATCACTTATTTGAGCACTTACATAATTTTTAATATTATATATAACATTGTTTGTCAATTTTTTATAAAACTCTCATAAAGCATTTTATTTATTTTTCCATCAATATTTGAATGCTTTGTAGGCGTCTGGAGCACACAGTAGCGACAGTCAGAGCGGGAATGAAAAGTCTGCCAAATCTTCAGAGCCGAGGTGTCCATCAGACAGCCCCAAGGTTAGGTCACGCAACTGAGTAACATTAAAGTTGCCATATACCAATTTCCAAAGAACACTGTTTCTTTGACACAATTTTTTTGTTATTAAAAGTACATTCTTAAATTCTTAAAACGTCTGTTTCTTCTGAAATAAATTGGTGACATTATTTATTAAATATACTAAGTGGCAAGTCCCAGAACATTACGTACGTTCATTAAATATCGCTCACACACGACTTATGGGCATGATAGAGATAGTAATTGATTTTACTACTATTACGAAGTTTATTATTGTTAACGTGTATGTGTAATGATAACCACTTCCAAATAGTTAAGATATAATAAAAAAAACTAAATATATGCAATTGTATATATTTTTCGTCAATAATTACATCTTATTTGAGAATAAATAGAACAGACAGTAGTAAAACTAGTGTACTTTACAGCAGTGCCTTCAAAATGTACACCTCCTCAATTTAGATACCATGTAGTTTAGAGAGTTCTTGTGAGTTTTTGAGTAGTGGGTACGACGACTCTCGTACCGTGGACTTTGTTGTGACATGAGTTATAAACATGCTATCATAATTATTAAATTTACAGGATTATCAGTCCCATTTGGATATATTTGTATATTTCTATAGTCATGCCCTAAAGTCGGCCTCAGATTTATAGGAAAAGATGAATACGACTGCTAAAATTATGTTAACAGATATGTTAATTACTAAATTATCATCAGAGTACGGATATGGTGTTGGATACTGGCGATAGTGGGTCCAGATCGGAAAAATCGAAAAGCACCAGGGCAGCAATAAACAGCGACGAAAATGTGGACAGAATGGATGGAGAATCCAGCTATTCGTCTTTCTATTCGTCATTTTTCAAGACTGAGTCTGGAAGCGCGGAAGAGAGTGGAGACGCTAAGAAAACTCCTAAAATTAGGGTTAGTATTAATTTGTTTGTTCCATAACCCTAGGTTATGATGTTTTCTCTCTTCTCGTACTTTTTTTTTATTATTTTTTGTGATAAATAAAGTGTCATTTGATCCTTTGTCAAAATTTCAATTGGCGGATTGTTTCTAAGGCCACACCTAGAAAATTTTAGTATGCTGGTCATTAGGGTTTAGAAAAAGTGCGAGGGATCGTTGTTTTGTAAGAATGTATATGTGTGTGTGTGTGTGTGTAAAAATAAATATATACAATGTTGTTTTGGAAAAAAAGTTAGACTTTTAAGAAACAGATACGCTATGCTAAAGTGATACCGGTCCTGGACACTTGAAATATGAGGATTTTGAATATGAAAGTGGATGAAGTAAGAGATATAAATAAGCGTTAGAATTTGGTTTATTGTCTATTCTGTGAGGGTTTTGGTATAAAGCTAGAGTATAATAGTAACTTATAAATGAAAATGTTTTCGATATACAATTTCGATATACTTTGGTGGCTCAATTATATAATAATTATGATATTTGTTTTGTAGTTTTGGGACAGAAATCGTCGAGGTGAAGATCAGAGTTCTGGTGAAGCGACGTCGTCGCTCTACGAACCACGACAATCCAAAAAGGTAGCCAAGAGGAAAATAGAACCTCCATGGCTAGAACAGGTAAAGTGAAATAACATCAAAATATATAAATAATAATAAGTATATAATAATATCTTGTAAAATAACAAATACATATAAATAAATAAAACATTTGGATAGACAATGAGACAGATATAGCAAGATTATAAGGATACTATCTGGATATAGAATCTTAGTAATGGACTAGTGTAGTTGTACTTCAAAAGTAGGCAATATAGAATGTTTTTATTACTAATTCATAGCACAAATGTTGTGCTATGAAAGAGTTGTGTAAAAAAAGAAAAATAATATTAATATTGTTTTATTTTAGGTGTGTGTGACATCTGATCTCATGTACAAGTATCAAGTCCTGCCAAAGAGTATGAATGAAGTTCTTATATCCGATAAAGAAAAAATCACCAGCATTGAACAGGTTTGTATAAGATATACTCAACACGATTAATTGTCAAAAATGAACACTGATTCCATTATTTATAAGAACTTAAACTACTATAAACCTTTTAAATAGTGGTGTGTCTTGTCTCTTTTCTTCCAATTAAAAATTAAATGAAAAGAATAAGAAAACACTTATAGAATTTTTAGACCTATGGCAAGTTGACATCAATGTAAAAGAAATAATTTGAGTTTATAATTGTGCATTAATATGACTCGTAATAAAATGTAAACCTATAAAAATAAAATATGGTTTTATAATGGATTTATTCTATTAGATCTACTAGTATAATATAATTAATTTTTATTTATAACAGCCGTCGTTAGTGAACGAACAATTGGGCCAACTCTACGTGGATTTGCAACTTGAAGGCGTAGCTTCGAGGCTCACACTCGAAGAAGGCATCACCAGTTCCAGTAGTTCTGGAGAAGAAACTTTGACTACCACTCCCAAGGTTCGTAACTATGCATTTATACTGAATATATGTAACAATTATGAAACATTTTTGTAGTTGAGTTCCTTGAGGTTAATAAAAGAAAAGTGCCAGATAATAAGTCGCGGCCTCTGGACAGTAGATACAGGTCGTGACCTCTGGACAGTAGATACAGGTCGCGACAAATTTTATAAACATAACATAAAAAAAATATTTAATCTCTAATATCTGCAAACAATCGTTGCAATACAAAACCTTTTTTGTCTATACTCACATAAACGTCTAGGCAAATAGATGTGCTTTCTCCCTTTCTTTTATAAACAGGCTGTAGAACATGAACTGGAGTATAGGTCTTCCTTTAGAAAAATATAATTCCGGCATTGATAAAGAGGACGAGACACCTCAAATTGTCATGTAAAAATGCTACAATTTGCAAGATTCTACAGGATCAAACTTTGGGCAATTATGCACTTATTTTGTAAGAATTTAATTTAATTTATACCTAAATGTGTCAATTATTCATATGGATTTTATAAAAAAAAAGATATTAATATTATACAGAGTTTCTTGTTTAGAGCAAATCAATTTCATTTATTCATTTAAATTTTAAATTGGAACAGCTTAAGGTGTAACTTTTGTTTGCGAATGAATTAGATTATTGGTTAATTTACACCTTCAGACTAACTTTGTTATTATAATTAGATTATATTATTTACAGGCACCTCGAAGGAAACGTGAATATAGTAAGTTAGTTATGATTTACGAAGAGGATGCACCTTTACCGTCCCCGCCAGAGGGCGATGCGGTTGTAGGATCTTCTGAGGATATGCAACCAGAAATGAACCAGAAATAATAAAGTAAGAGACATGTTACAGTGAATAAACAATGTAAAAACAATAATTACAAGTGATATAAAAGGGTAACAATTAAGTACGTTTATTAGTTTTTAAGTAATTTTGACAGTTAATCTTAAGAACTATGATTAGATTATAACCTGTTTTGTTCAAAAAATCTAGTGAAGACTTTAGTAATAGAGTAGAAGTATTACGTTTTCTTATTTTTTATTTCTGTATATTCTTACCCATGTCACCTAAGTGACTTGTTCGTATTTCACTTTTTCTAATAGTACTGCCTAGTCGCGCAATTTTCGTACACTTGGTAGCTAAAATAGTATTAAGCCGCTTTACCTTTTTAAGTTCATTAAATTTGATTCTTAGATTTTTTTATATTTTTTATAGTTTTTGAAAACTATTGTGTCTGCTTTTGTTTATGCGCCAAATCCATTCCATTTACGATCCCGGTGATATTTCTCGATCTCAGAATATAATAAAAAAGTGTTGTAGTCAATTTATTTAAGATAGTAATTGGATCTTTAATCTGAGCGGAATATTCAAGGACCAATTCAGGTTGACTGGTTTCATGGCCTATTAAAATAAGTTTTTTTTTTTTATAAAAATATGATTAAGACTATAATTTTTAATATAATAGTGAGAGGAATTTGTTGACTGTTGCTATTATGGTGAACGTAATAGTTTTCTTATATTTTATCTAAATCTTGCATTATATTTAATTGACCGAAGTGCGTATTGAAACTATATATTTTTTTATTTGAGAGACTCTTAATATTATAAAGTTTTGAGCGAATGCAGTAAGAGTAAATTTTAATACAAATAATTGACATATTTTCAAAATTGTATGCGCAGGATCAGAAGTCTCTATTTTTTATATTTAATGAAACCGAGATTTTGGAAATTTTAATGTCCTTATAATAGAAACAAAATATTAAATTGATGCAAATATTTTTTGTGATAGTAAACTTTTTTAAGCATATAAATAGTATATATGTTTCAACTCAATTATACAAGATGTATAGGAATACATATCCTCATTTCATATCCGATCTTTGTAAATGGTTTAATTATATCTCCTAAAATAATACAATTTATTTATTCTAATTATGCCGTTGTTCTAATGTTATTCAAAATTGATTATTGTTTGATATAAAAAACATACGACATAATTTTGCAAGGTATTAGCGTGATCAGCGGTTTAGTAAGAGAATATGAATTACGAGCAAAAATTGAATCATAAAAATAAATATTCCTTGATGTATTTGTCGATTGTTACCCTTATGCAGAATGCCCACATTTCCTTGAGTATTTGAATCCAATATGATAGGGGCCTACCGCTGTGTCTCTAATTAATTTGGATTCTTTGTTATTATTAGAGAGTTAGAAATATAAATTAAAACACAATATTTTTAATGATCGTCAAATTCAAACGTACTAGCTTTTAACATTTTTTTTATTTGTTTTTGTTTTCGTTATCAATATAATTATACTTAAATAGCATTTTTTAAATTTTATACTTAAAGTTCCTAAACTTAATAAACAAATATATTTTATAATTATATGTAAGTTTTGTGATAAAATATCAAGGACTTTCTTGAGTTGAACTTTGTGATAAAGTAGGGCTTTATTGATCGTATTATATCTTTTAGATAACATATGATTTTTAGGAAAATAATCGGATTTGGTTTTCAATTATACGAGTTATTTTAAATTTTTATTTGACGGCGTTGATTAAATTTTTCTTAACTAAAGATGCCTACTTTTATATGTACGTTTTTGCACTGACGCATTAATATTTATCATGTAGGCATCCATTAGTTTTTAGCGACGTAAAAAAAAAGAAAAAATACTTTTCGTTTTCATAAAAAACGGTTTTCAATTACATTCTACTTTTTATTATATTTGATTTTATTATAACTTCATATTTCGTAGCCACTTTTGCCCAAAATAACCATATTGAGTCAGTGTTTTATTTTCTGTACCATTTTTAAATCCGACCGCTGTTCATACTAATGTCGACTGTATCATATTTTTAAATGCAATAGCAATATAGGGTTGTGTTTAAGTGCTTGTGAACATGCATATTCCAAAGATATCCAAATATGTAGTTGAATATTTACAAATATAGTTAGAATATACGAGTATATATTTTTTCAGCATTTTGCAAATATTTACTTATACGTATATATGTTTAAATATTCATGTTCAATTTTTTATATTTTAACTTTTATTGTCCTGTTGACATTAACATTTTTTATATAACATATTATAATTAGCAGATAGTAGGTGTAATGCGATATCGTCTACTAAATATAATATGTATGTTCGTAACAGATCCAAATTATCAACCAAATACTGAATAATTACTAAGTTTGAGTTTTAAAGTTACAAATGTTAGTGCAGTATATTTGTTGTTAACTATTCGAAGAACGATATTCTTTACAGTATGTTACAATATTGATACATGCCTTATATTGATACATATTTAACTAGTTATTCATAAAAACTTAGAACGTCCGTAGTATTTTATCTCTTTCTTTAAAATTTCAAGTTTGATTTCAAAAGAAATATTCTACTACTTCAGAATGTAATTTTGTAGTATTAGGAACAACGTGTTTAATTGAATTATAATTTGAAATTATTAGTTGTTATTTTAAAACCATTGTATAAATTAATTGCTTGTTTTGTGATATAACACTGAAACCGTCTTCTTTATAGTCTAAAAGATGTTATGAACGCCATATTTTAATTTATGTTATAAAAGTGTGACATACTTTAAAAATGTTTGAATCCATGATAATATATAATGTTAAAGCGTGGAGGAAGTGCAATTAATAACCAAAATTAATTTTTATTTTTTAGTTGCAAGAGGAAACTTTGAAATGAAAAATAAAATACTAATTATTGTATATTTTGTACTTTGAATTTTATAATAAAAAAAATTAATTTTTATATAATACGCATTAACCAGAAAAAGCATAATAATGATAATATTTAAAATTTTCAAAATTTAAATTTATTTTTGTTTGTAAATTTATACAGAGGTAATAAAATATATAATGTATTTAACTTAATTCATATAATGTTATGTTACTTGATTTAAAAAAATTTAATATCTTTGTTAAAGAATAAATTAATATTCTTTGTATGAGCTTTCTATAAAACAGGGTAATCATGTTATTTATTGGATAATTTTAATATCAAATCGTATGACGATAGCGTGCTCTTGTGACAATTCAAGATGACGGTTTTTATTATACACGAAAGCATAGCTTGCCATAATGATAACTTTAGGTGCTCTCGAAATTATTAAGTAAGTAATTATATTCTTATGTGATCTAAATATAAATATTAAAAAGATAATTTTTGGATTGGTATACTCAGTATTGGGGACTTCGGCCCGCAGTTATATGTTTAATCGACTGAGATAACCGCTTCATTAAAATTGTTTATTAATGTATCCTATTTAAGATATAGGCTATTAATGTATCATAGTCAGATAGATATAGTTCTCGTGAAACAGAGTTGCGATTGATATTTTTCTATTGACTCTTGATATTGAATTTGTATTGTTCAAACAGTACTGGGTTATTGCACAAGAAAATTATGTCTGCATACCCTTAGATGTAGATGCCGCCGTTATATTAATAGTGGTAAATTGTAATCAAATCAATGAAAAAAATTCTCAAAATTATCTCTATGATAATATGAGGACAGAATTCATTGACGTTATGTTTTGTTAATATTATTTTTTTCATTTAATATATATATATAACTAAGTCTTTGCTTAAATAAATCAGTGATGTTGACTGATATCTACTACTTTTATTTTCCTTTTTCTTTCCTGGTAACTTTAATTGTGATAATTTGTCCTCGATTCATGGGAGACTTGTATAAATTATTGACAATTTTATAAAGTTTAGTCCAATACTAATATAATCACTATTGAATTCGTCAACTGATAAGTAGCGCTTACGGCTGTAAAATTCAGTATAATTTATTTTGAACTTGCAAACCAACAAATAAGTGCAAAGGCATCCATATGTATGGTCTCAGAAATATGTTCAGCCAACATTGTAGACATTATAGAAAAAATTATCTTAATGGGTAATAATGGAATGGTAATCTCGTCTGCGTTGCAATATACGCTGGTGGGGTCCAGTGAGTGATGATAGGTAAGGATGAAGGGGAGGGGGGAGGTAGGGGAACAAAGAAGAGGTTGTGTGGAAAGGATTCGTCGCATTGGAAGAATTTCACCCTTCGCCTGCGCTCATGTGATCCCAGGGATTAGGGTGGTCGTCTGGAGGATGATTTTTTTATGCATAATTATGGTATGGTAACCCTGTCTACGCAACTGTAAAACACTTACTTCAAAGCTGCCCCATGTTCTGCAGAGCTCGTCTTCAGTACGAACAAACATGCCGAGTACACGGAATTGACACCCCTTATGATTTGACAATCATCACTCGGAAGCCTGGTGTGCTAGCTTCTTTTGATGCGCTAACAAGAATTATTGTGAAACACCTAATTATTATATTTTATCGCGACTGACCACTTCATCCTCAAATTTATATCCTCCTATATATATATATATATATATATATATATATATATATATATATATATATATATATATATATACTTTGCTTTAAAACGCTTTTTAATATAAAAAAAGATTTATAGTAGTGCATTAAAAGTTAAAAGTAACAGTGATCTACTTACTAATATAAAATTTTACTGTTGCAGTATATTCACGAAAATGTATATACTGAGATTTGTATTATAACTATGCATAGTATGATATGAATCAACAGTATATTGACTGAAGTATCTATATTTTTGAGAATTTCCAAACAGATGGTCAATCATTTACAATGAACGCTGCGCAATATTTTCAAAGTTACTGATTCACTCCACATTATACAATATATAGAATCGTATACTTTTTCCCGCGCTAACCTTAATTACAAGCACACATTGTCACGTGTAAGGACGTTACTCGTTTCTGTAGTTGTGACAATTATGTATTATGACGTTTTGTATGAAATGTCTGTGGTGTGCCTATGGTCAAGTAAATTATAATTTATATCTTAATTCACTCCATGAAATTGGCATGATAATTCAGTTGCGTTGCTGGTTTATGCTGGCCAGATGTAAAAGAAGGATAATAGGCGAGGATGCAGCAGAATTAGTTGGCTCATCGTGACAAATTCAACAGAATTTTACCATTTTGATTTCGAGAGGGAAACACGTGAAAATCGATGTGACAAAATATTGTTAGCAGTAGGGGCGCTAGTTCCCGTTGTTAACAATTCCTTCACCTCCGACAACTGGTTACGTGGTACTTCATATTGTAAAATCTCTAGTCAAGTAACAATTGTATGCAATTATAAGTTTGCATAACTCGAGTAGGTGCAGATAAAGTGGGTATTTTATCACGTATGTAGGTACGTACCTACATACGTACGTGATTCTAACATACATACATACATTAAAGAAAGACAAAGATGATAAAATAAATATCGATAATCCGATAAAATTATGTTTTTTATGCAACTTAAAATGGCAAACAAGCTGACAGCCCACCTAATGGAAAGTGGTAACTGTCGCCTATAGACATAAACAGTAGCATGGACGTAACAGAGTACATTGTTGCCATTCCTAAGGACTTAGGTGTTATTCCTCTGTACCCTGTAAATTTACTGCTATATCCCACCTTTCAAAATAAAACACAGTCATGTAAACATAACTACTTCACGGTAGAAAGGCGAATGGGACAGAGATGCTAAGTAAACGACTTTTGTACAAAGTCATCCTCTGGTATCTTATTTCTAATCTTGTGATGTTTACCAAAGATTTTGTCCCTTTATAACGCAGGTGGGGTTACCATCCTATTTTTATTCATTAGGCAAAAATCCTACTTTTATGTCTATCGCCAGATTCTAAGGGTTCTACTCTCGGCAGTAAATATAACTTTGATGCGTGGGGGACGCGATTATTAGTAATGAGATTTCGGCTCAATTTCTGACACGATATATTTAGCAATATATATATTCTCAGGTTCACTACCATGACATCCCTTCAGGAAACCATCACGAATAGTCGCGTGTGAATTCTCTACGAATGGGAAACTGATTTGATATCATTTTCATCGTATCATCGTGTAATACAACCTTCATCTTCAGAATCGATAGTATCAACAGAGACACTATCAGAAATGTATAAATATATATATATATATATATATATATATATATATATATATATATATATATATATTGGAGTCTGTGGCGTTTCAATTTTGTTTTTGTTTATAGACGATGATTGTCAATATCGTTGCTATAATATCTATCATTTATGGAGAGATAGGCCACCAGCATGTTTACTCATCATCATCACTGCCTTGCCTTGTTTGTTAATTTTGTATAAAAACAAAACTTTAATAAATAAAGAAAAAAATGTTTCGAATAATGTTATGACTGGTTAATTAAATTTTTATGATTAGATTAGCGAAAGATGTCCATTAATCATCAAATTGGCAAAACACACATTGTTGCTTATTACCTATGTAGTCTAAATATTTCAAGTATTTACTTTGTTAATGTTTTAAAAATTCACCAGTACACCTGCCCCGCATAATAATTTGTAATATCCATGTTTGATATTTCGCTACGTTATACTTGTATATACATGCACTAGCTACTCACACAAACGCAAAGCTGTTTATACAAAGTAATTACTGGTTTCCACACAGACGCACTGTTCACCTACACGGGTGGCTCTACCTGCGCAAGAGTCACATTCCGTCGCCCACCTCCATGATTGTCCGCCGAGCCGTCGAAGGCTTCGATATTCGAAATTTGATTTTAGAAAGTACTGTTGAGTTGTGATCGTTTGAATAGTGTTTTCGTCAAAATGTCTTCATACTAAGGTATGTGTGCACTGTGTCATTTAGTTACTTAGTATTCTTAATAAGTGTATATTCGTCGTTTGGAAAAACCGAAAACCTTCGCCTTTTTTTTCTTATCGTTGTAATTAAGTTTCACTGTAAAACCAAGTAGTTTTAAAATATGCCAACAAATTTTAAAATAGATAATAAACAGTTTAAAAACTATGAAACTTAACAATACCTATCTATGCTTAACGAGTTTTGTGTTATCAGTATATTAATGAAATTGTTAGTGTAAAAATTAACTCGTGATCTAATAGTTTTTATTTACATTCTTGAACGATGAGTAAGGTCATTTGTAAGAAAAATATACTCAATGTTCTTTTAATCGTTAAATTACAATACCTTTAGATTTGACGTAATTTAACGACGTTAAGGCATTATTATTACTTGATTAGTTTAAATCGGAGACACCTAAATATTAATTTCGATTTTGGTTATTCATATAAGAAGATACAATAAAATATATCCAATCTAGAATCCGGTATTATATGTGCGTTATATCGATATATTAATAAAATTATAGTTTAGTCACAATTCTATTTTCAAATCTTAATGAAATAACCTGATTGCTACATAGGTAAAATACCTAGGCTACATAGGCAATGTACCAGCACAATATGAAATGAATAAGTATTTTTTTTATCTGTATTACAAATAAGGTATAATAATAATGCTTTTATAGGTAAAGACAATGTAGTTAGATTTATGCACCTTAATAACATATCACAACTAGAACCTGGCAACATTGTCACAAATGATAATAAAACGTTGATATTCACGACTAGTGTGGATTGAGACTTCTCGTATCCCTTTTATTACTCGAAGTAGGTACCTACATGCTATTAACCGTTACGTCCGATTCACATTGGTTATGGTCTTAGAAAAGTCAGTTACACTGGATAGGGAGAGTAGCTGGGGCAGGCCACAAGCACTTTTTACTGCCCACTGGCTACTTGAGAGTATAATTATAGTCGCTTTGCTAACAATATGTCATGTACAATCTAAATATAGAGATTTGTAATTGACATTATCAATGGAGGAAAATCTGTTTCCAAAAACTACTTTTATTTTACAAAATGGGTAATTTAAATGATTTAATGTTATCTAGTGTGCTGAAAATGGAATAATAACCTCACCAGTGCTACTAATATTCGCTGCCAGGGTATCAATGAGTGATGTATATTTTTATTAATGTTTTATTACAACAGGCTATAGTAGACATTATTGGCATGCTTTTTTTTTTAAATTAAGACGTACAAATTTAAACATAGAAAGTGAAAAATAGGTACTTACACAATTATAATAATGAATTAACAATGATATAGAATTTTATTTATTTTATGCAATAAAAATCAAAATAGTTTACTAAATCTATATACATAAACTCATTGTTATGTAGATATTATATATATATATATATATATATATATATATATATATATATATATATATATATATATATATATATATATATATATATATATGTATAGCAATATTTTATTTTTAGTTTTTTACTTTCTAAGTTGTTATATATATATATAAATATATATATATATATATATATATATATATATATATATATATATATATATATATATATATATATATATATATATATATATATATATATATATATATATATATATATATATATATATATATATATCTTACCTTGGGGACAACAAAACTTAGTCCAGTTTAACTCCACTAAGACAAGCTTGCGCGTTTACCGTTAAAAAAACCTCATTTGCTGTCGCTCCACAGTTCCAAGGCACGTCTCTTAACATCTCTAAAAGCATTGGGATCCTTGGTGTCGACATCTCTAGTGATGTACAATTCCGTGGCCACCTCGAAGATAAGGTGAAGCTGGCATCTAGAAAACTCAGTGTGCTCAATAGAGCGAAGCATTACTTCACGCCGGATCAGCGATTAATGCTCTACAAATCGCAAATCCGGCACATATGGAGTATTGCTGTCACTTATGGGCGGGAGTACCTAAATACCAGCGTGAACCCTTCGACTCGTTGCAACGACGAGCTATAAGAATTGTCGATGATCCTAGGCTCACAATCGGTATCGAACCCGTAAGTCTTAGGAAAGTTTTTTCTTCACTCTGCGTGTTCTACCGCTTGTACAATAGATTGTGCTCAGAGGAATTGTTCAATATGATGCCCACAGCCACTTTCTACCATCGTACGGCTCGCCATCGACAGGGAGTTCACCTTCATGTCCTACAGTCTCAATGGTCGCGTACAGCGCGGTTTCAGATATGTTTCTTCCCACAAAGATGTTTCTTCTGCCGAGATTTTCCCAAGAGCCTACAGCATGGGGTTCTTCAAAAGGGGTGTAAAGAGGTTTCTTCAAGGTCGGCAACGCACGCGTAATACCTCTGGTATTACAGGTGTTCATAGGCTACGGTAACCACTTACCATCAGGTGGGCCGTATGCTTGTTTGCCACCTCAGGGATATAAAAAAAAAAACCTTATATTACCAGTAGTAGCGAACTAATAAATAGAGGCTCCTCTGACACGTTTCAACTTTATAGACTCAAACAGATGTCATGTAAACAATTATAGTTTCATGATACTGCTCTCATAAAACAGGTTTATCATATTACTAATGATTTATCTGTAATGGTTTTATAATGGCTGTAAATCTCAATTTGATATGAGGTGGTTTATTCATAACAGCAATTGAAGCAAACATATTTATTTAAAAAAAATGACTGTCAGGCTGTATATTCTGTGTCACGATGTTCTTTATTGCTAATCTCTGAAATCGCTCAACCGATTCGAACGAAATTGTGTAAATATGTATTATTTGCTCCAACTTGGGAGTTAGAACCCTTTTTATCCCGATAAGAAAAATTTGATTCGTCAGATGGTAGCAGGGCGAAAAATGTTATTTATATATAAAAATAATATTGTGTTAGCCGGATTGAAAACAGTTATATAAAAATAATTTATTGTCCTTAATTGTAAATATATATACTTAAAACTGATATAGTTCTAGCTCTGATGCCGAATAGAATCTTCAGCAAAATTCGAATTGATATATAATATTGTTTTTCACAGTTTTTGGTGGAAAAAGTCAACTTGCGAAAGCAAATATTCAAACATAGACACTTTTACATTTGAATGCAGTTTTATTTAAAAGCCCTGTGAAAATCCGGCATCGGTACAGGTGAGCAAATACCAAATAGTAGGTATTTGAGACAGCTCGGCGTAATATCCGGGATAGAACAGTATGCCCCAATCATATCCGGACGCGGCGATGAAGCACCGACGTATTGCCATATTCACTTCGCATGTCATTTTGTAAATTCTACCCAATATTTGTGTCCACTGGGATTGGAAATTAGTTAGGCAACTCTGTGGCATATTATTTGTGATAAAATGTATCCTGTTTGTTATTTTAGGATATGGTCTATGTGCATTAAATTTTATTTAAATCAGATTGATCATTTACACATAAGTGAGCAGAGATCAATGAAAAAAACTTTTCACGATTGAGATAGTTGGGTTTAGAAGGAAAATCTAAAAACTTTTTAGCGATTTCGACATAGACGATTTTGATTCTCAATTCTCTATGTTCATTAGATCGTCAAAATATCTATTTGCTATATATGTATATTCTGGAATTTGTGATATGTAGGTATCTAAATAGATATAAATTCCAGAGTCAACCATTTTTTATTTATTTATGGCTTTATGTCAAACCGTTAAAGTTGTGAAATTCATTTGTTGGTATTACATTTTATATATCTAGGTTACCACTGCGATATTCAACCCGGCAGTTAAGCTTGGAGATTATGGTAATATCCTCATACGGTACAGGGTTACATGCACTGGACTTATATAGGCGGTTGTAATGAATGTTATTTATTTATAGAACTAAAATAATTTCATGCAATTGAATATTTACTGTTATGTGACTGGGATTGCGCTATATAACCATTTAGGTGGAAGTATAATAATGTATCAGATGTTGCTCTCCAGTAAAAATTTGAAACAAAATTTTTAAATAAGGTACCTGGTAAGGTACCTGGTATAATAATTTTTATCCTTACAATGACGTTAGAACTGCCTAAAGAATAAAGCGTAATAGATCAGTGTAAGAAAACGAAAACTAGTAATAATACTATTCTAACCACCAATTCGCCTGGCCAGCGTGATATTATCAATAATTGGTTTATTCTGATCTTACGAGGAGAGTGCCCAGTAGTGGGACGTAATATGTTATGATGAATGTTCGTTCAATATTGATTTTTGTTCTTTGGATTTTTCAAGATTAACTGTTTTCTGTGGCTTTGATTGCGTGAATTAGGATAAAAAATAGGCACTATTTTAAATTATGATATTATCTATACATAATTTAATTCAAATTAAATAATTCACATGTATTTACTATAATATTTTAACAGTCACTAAAGCGTCTAAATAACTAAACGGATTTTTGATAAAATTTGGAACACTGATAGGCGATAAGACGGTTGTAAGGTATTTTCAGAAGAAGGATATTTATAAACATTCATTCTGTTTAGGTAAAGAGAGAAGAATATTTACGCTGCTTTATTCACAGTATGTTGAAAATCGGATTGTTGGACAGTATTTTTCTACCTTTGTAGTTGTGTCCGAGATAGACGTATAAACAATAGAATCTTAGCCCACTCCAGTCATATGTAATGCCCGTTGCATACAAATGTGTTAAGACAATGATGTGATTGTCATTCGAGGTGCTTTCCTTGACGCTCGGAAGGTAGATACTTGTTGTCTGTATATGGGGCTCATTCTTATTGGGCCAGTATTCGATATTGAACACATAGTTCGAAAACATTTTAAGTGACCAATCGTAGTGGAGTGACCAAATGTTAAATGCAGTTGTGCACTAGGTAATTGTTTTGATAAATATAGGATTTTTTTGTACCTAAGTATAGTAAGTCTTCCTGACACTAATTACTGGTTTTAAGAGACACATG